AAATGGGGATGAAGTAAAAGTCTAAATATTACAACTATATTGAATATCAATGAAGAAACTATAAATGAAATGTAAAAACAGTGTAAAAGGAAAAGAAAAATGTTTTTTTTAACCATTATGTGTCGACACATGCATCTTTGCATCGACACATAACTTTACTTGTTCATGTAAAACTAAACCAGCCCAGTATGAGTCAATGCATAATGGGATGTGTCGACTCATTTCCTGTATGTGTCGACACATACGTGTTTTGTATTGACTCATGCACCTTTTGTCTTTCTATTTTGGGGTCTAGATAGCAGTATGTGTCGACAAATAAGGCCTTATGTCGACTCATACCCTGTTTTGTCACCAAAATGAGTCGACTCATGTGATTATGTGTCGACTCATGCTGCAGTTTTTTGCCTTAAACATTGTTTTATTGTCTGTACAAGTCAGTTTACAGCATATGATTGATAAAAATAAACAACAAGCAAATGGTTAGCTTCAAGGGGCAATAATTACTGCACTTTATCTTCAAAAATGAATCATTAGTGATGTATTAGAAAATGCAAAGTCAAGAAGACTTACCTTGAGACTGCACTTGGTGTTTTGAGTCTTAATACTTTTCAAGATGCTGTGATGGCTTCAATGAATCTCTTAGAAAGTTATTCTAAGCTGTTGGATCACACTAACTCAGTCAAGTTATATTGTACTACTTTTGTGTTTGGAAGGTGAAGATAATGGCACCACAGAAACTGTTCTCGTGTTTGAACAATCTCTATGTCACAAGGTGTTTGAGCTGGTTGGTTTATGGGAGGGTTTACAAGATGGAATAATGGGTTGAGTTTCTGTTTTGGGTGAATGAAAATAGAGATGAGTATGAGCAAGGGTCTTTTGTGAATGAGTAGAGTTTACAAAGAATGCCATTTTTCTCTTCTCTCTTCTCTCTCTCAAAAGCCCCCCTTGTGTGTTGTGAGAACAATTTATTTTATAGATGAAGTTTGGATGAGATTTAGGGGGGGGGGGGAACAAATAAGTTTTTGAATAGTTTGGGTATGCTGTCTCATTGCCTTTTAGATGCAGCTCTCATATGCAAATTTGGTGCAAACATGTGACTAAGATAATGCAGGCTTGGACTGGGTTGGTAGTAGCATAACAGAGCTGTTTTTGCAGCAGTTTTGGAGTGTTGTGGCAGCTTGGTGCATGACTGTTTTATAGCAGTATATCAGACTGTTTTTTGACATGGTTTTGGGCTGTTATGTGGACAACACATCAGGCTTGGACTTGGCAGCATATAAGGCTTTGTTCAGCAGTAGTTTGGATAACATTGTTTGTAGCATGACACAAGTTTGGTTTTATGGACAACATAGTGGCAAGGTTTGAGTCAAAGGGAAAAGTTCAACCAAGACAAAGTTTAGGATTTGTAATCTTGCAAAAATTCCACTTTATAATAACTTGAATTTTTTGTAACAACTTGAATTATTTTGAATTATAGTGAAAAGATGTCACGAAGCAATTAACAAGTATACAAATTCTAAGCCTTGCAAAGTTTGACTTTCCAAAATGAACCTTAACTTTCTTGATTTTTGATGATCAAATTTCATTTTTGAATTTATGAAATGTGATCTCTGAAACCCAATTTTGGTCAAAAAGTCAAAGTTTGACTTTTCAGTGTACAATTGACTTTTTTTCGATATAACTAATTTTAGGCCATCTGATCAATTGACTCAGCAATTTTGTGATTCAAGACTTGAAACTTGACAGGAGCAATCTTGAGGGGTCTACAATGATCCATGAAAGTCATTTGAACTATTAGAAGTCCAGTTGTCTTTGTGCAAACTTAAATCCTAATTTGAGGCATCAACATTGAGGAGATGGCTTGACCTGATCAACACTTGTGCAAACTTGAATCATTGAAGATCTTTGTAGGAGATATCTTGAGAAATGAGAGAGAAAATTTTGGGGTACAACAATTAGCTTTAGGACTTATACCTTGTTTGTTAACCAAGCCACATTACAATCTTGAAAAGCCCTTGATATTCTTGCTTTTATATTTTCAATGTAAATTTTTAGATGAATGCATAATTTAGTTTATTGTTTGCAAGATTGTTGGATTAGTGAAAATACCCCATTTTCGTGTGTTTTTCATCTATCGGTGATTGTGTTTGCTAGGTGTGATTCATTTGTGAACTAGTATTATTTTAGAATGTTTGGCATGATTTTTGTATTTAACATTTGTTTTGTGTTTATGTTATAGTCGTAGTTTAGTGGTAAGTGTTTACTTTGTGTGAACCGTTTTTTATTTGAACCATTGTATTTGTTTTCTGTTTTCAAAACTTGTTGATTCGTGTTTCTTTGATTTATCATTCTTTGTTCTTTGGGTTATTTGATTTTGTTTGAGGAGAAACAATGATTCAAGTTTGGGAGAGTTTGATATGTGCAAAAGTGTAGTTATTTTGTATATACTTTTTGTTGTACTTATCGATTCTTTGTCGTTAATATCAGTTGAATAACCCCACTTTTTGTTGTAAATATGTTTAATTACGTTTTGTGTACATATTGTATCGTTTGATTAAGTTTTGTATATATTTTGTAGGTATTTGAGCATTGTTGGAGCAAGAGGAATAAAGCTCCAAGATGCATTTTGGATCCATAAAGGAATAAGGCGAAGATTGGAGCCAGAGGAAGTTATGCAGGAAAGCAACATAAGTTGCTGGACTGTCATGGATCTCTGAGCGAAAGAAGTCGTCACCAGGCAAAATTTGTAGGCCAAATTTCCTTGTTGCTTCTGCCTAGCGTCGCCGGGTGATGTGTATTTGTCTCCAGGCGAGAGAAAGATATTTTCCCCAGTTGCATGCGTGGCGCAACCTGGGCCAAGTGTATAGAAGTCGTCACTGGGAGACGTGAGTTGTGTCACCGGGCGACGCGTGCGCATCAGAATTTTGTTATATTTCATTTCATTTCATTTTGAAGGGTTATGGTTTTGGGAGTGATTGTTGTTCTCCCAATTCCATCAACCTCATTTTCATAGTGGATTAGCTTAGATAACAACACCAGGGCTTTACTTATGGATGATTGGAGGTGGATTTCTCATTGACCGACACTGACAAACTAGAAGATTTATGGTTTATCTCTTCTCCTCTCTGTGTATTTCTCTTTTGTTGGGTAGTGTATGAATTTTACTTTGAACTTATGTATATTTGTCGCCCATGGTGTTATATTAAACTTTCTTTACGAATCTTTGTCGATTGTTGTCTTAGATTTTTGCTATGTGCTAGGGATTTGAGTTGTTATAGACATATACTGCTTAGATTCTTATCTAGGATGATTATCTATTAGTTTCTGAACTCTAGAGATAGATTTAGAGTCGACATCTACTTGGTTATCAAAGTTTAATGCCTCTGTGTGGTTGTGTTGTGAGATTGTTAGTGCGATTACATAGTTGTCTTCTGTGTTGTTGAGAAGGTAAAAAGATAATTACCTTGGTGATACAATCATTCTCTCAATTTAAGTTAGAAATGACTTAGGTTGTGAGTGATACGTAGTGACATTGATGAGTATTGTTAGGTTGAATGTAACTGGTCGGTAGATTTAAGTCTGTGATGAGTATATTATATGCAGGCTTGATAAGTTCTTCTTTAGTTTTTACTTTTGTTTACATTTATTTTCTGTTTATATATTTCTATACCATTCAAACCCTAAACTCATTAACGAATGATTTGTCGAACGGTAATTCAATAACCAATCTTTGTGGACACGATATGATATAACCTATATCACCCGATAAATTAATAACTTACTTTTTGCTTGCCACTTTACCGCGGCAACAATGGGGCTGCGAAGAAGATAAACCATTAAACGAGTCATTAGTATCTCGTGGCCTCATGGTCCTGGTTGCGGCCCTTTCACGTTGTACTGGCGTGATTTGAGACACACGCCCAACCCTAATTTGATCTTCGTTGTTGTGAGCCATTGCACATGCATTATAAATAGAGACAACTAAAAATTTACACTCAATCTTTACAAATCCAACAAAAACACTCAATCTTTTGTTTGAGTACACTCCAAAGATGCATCTTTGTAGATAATGCATGGCAAATCTAGAGATGTATTCCTGGACAAACCTGTGATTGTCTCATCCATGGCACACATGCCTTTTCTGCCCTAATAGACCCAAAAAACCTTATTGCATATTATATTAGTCTATCAATTCCATTTACACTACTATCTAATGTACCTAAAACAACTAATGTATAAAAAAAACTAAATAAAAATTAAAACATAAAAAGAAAAGAAAATTTTAAAAGCTTACCAAAAGAAATTGATTGATGAAAATGAGCAAATTAGATGTTATGAGATGTTGAAAAGAGCTCAAAAGATGTAAGCTTAATTGAATGGATGTAGAGGTAAAATCGTTACAGAGCTCAAATGACTTTTCTGAGGAAACTTTTGAGAAAATGAAGAAGGAGAAAGAGAGAAGGGTTCTGACGCGTGTTATGAAACAATAACATTTGAAGATGCATGATATTTACATATATACATCTTCAGATACACTTTTTTCACATAAGGAGATGCATCTCCGGAAATTTTTTGCGTAAAAAGGGACGTCTCTTCAGTTTGGTATGAGAAATGAATAAAAAGATGTGTCATAAAATACATCTCTAAATACTAGAGATAATATAGATTTTTCATGGTGGTGTGGGAGCACCGATAAGAGTGATATGGGTGGAAAGAGCATTTCCAAAAAAACAAAAGTTGGGCCGGAGGAGTATGGGTCGTGAGTAACCCTAGCCCAAACCATAAAAACACAAAAAAAGAAGAAAAAAAAATATATCTCACTGCGAGTCTCGCTCGTATAATTTGCAGCAGCAGCTGCACCACCGTTAAAATCTTCTTTCCTTCCCTTTCTTCTTCTTGAAGAACAAACCACTTCAATAAATACACACACCCTACCGAACCTAACAGTAACAACAAATTCATACACATAGAGAGAGAAACGGTTATTCGAAATCCCAAACATGGCTACAAGGAAGCTGATTCGTGATTTCTTACTCTCACAACGATCTCTTATTCTTCCACACCAAGTTCATATTCTGTTCCTCTTTTGATTTTTCTTGAATTTAATTTTCATTTTCTCCATTTTTATTGATTTTTGTTGTTATGATAGGTTGTGAAAACGAGGCTGTTTTTGAATTCGGCTGATAGACGTGGATACAGTGTCTTCAATGAGTTCTCTAAGAAGGTTAAAGATGAAACTGTTAGGTATTACTTTCACTCTATCAACTTTTTTCAATTGAGGACGCTTTTTAGAGGTGTTGATACTACATAGGTTCTTATAGGTTTAAGAATCAGATTAAGTGATTAACTCATGTGAGTTTGAAGACTGAGCATTTTTAATTTTAGTTTGTTTAAATTTTTAGATTTCATTTATAACTTATGAAATTGCACTTAGGTTTTTATAGCTAGGTTAGTGAATTGTATGAATTTGGCTATAAAATTCAAATGAAGTTATTAATTGGGCATGTAAATTTTTATGAAGTGCATAAAGTGTTGGGTTTATTCCTATTGAGGGACAATGTTGTCAATTGCGGATCACAAAAAATAACACTTTGTTCAAATTCTGTTACGCTAGAGGGTTATAGTGCCACAATGGCCACTATATGATATGATACTTTGTACTATAATGGTGTATCTTGGAACAGTAACGACTTGTTCGAGTTCCGCTACGCAATAAAATCAATACCCATTGGACACGGCTAGCGTGAAAACGGACATATCTACGCTTTTTATATAAAAAGTCAGAAACTTATATCCCTTTAAAAGTAATATAATCATATTTTCATGAGACATTTGAAAAGTTTCGGCTTATGTATATTTTCCTTACACACATCTTCATCTATGGTTTTCATTATTTCCCCTTTTTCATTCTCCTAATTTTTTTACGTTTGCAGTGCGGTGTCTAAGTGTCTGTATCATATTTTGTGTTTATGGTTCATAGGATAAATTTCACTAATTAAGTAGGTCTTAATGTATTTAGCTTTAAAGATTTAGTATTTTATAAAATGGATTTGGGCATTTAGTTAGTTACAACATATCTTCGTGCCGCCCATGTGAAGACATAGAAGGATGTATTGAGTGAGAGAATACTCATATAACATGTTTTCTACCTCAGTATTCGACTTCATGTTGCCCTAGGGATTACCAAAATATTAAATTCTTACCCAATTGTCACAAAACTTGGTTCATTCATCAAATTGGTTAAGAATAATTTATTATGTTGATAGTTTGCTAATTGCTAGGGATGAGTAAGTTTCCATTACTAATATGAGCTGTGTCAGGTCATGTTTTAACACATAATAATGTTTTTGTCTTAATCTAGTAGTTTAATGTCTTATTTAACTCTAATAAAGTTAACCAACTACATATGTATTTTGAAACAAGTTCCTATTCCTAATCTACGTAGCCATTGGGATATATAATATCTCAGTACAGAACACGAAGAGCTGCATAACATAGTTCAAGATTGATGGTTCCTTTTCAGCAACCATACCTTAATCTATTAGTTAAAGGGGGCTAACACACTCAACAAAAAATAATGTCTGAATAGATGATATAGTTTAGAGAGCATATATCTTTACTCAAGAGATTCTCGAATCTAACATGGCAAGAATCTCAGTAAACCAGAAATAAAATCCTAGTTTTTAAAAATTAATCACAACGCTCAGTTCATTCAGAAAATTGATCTTTTTGTGGGACTATCACAGTCATATGTCGAGTACCATAATTTGTAGGTTTAAGCAGCATAATTCAGGATATTGTATGTAAACATCAACTTATATTTTAATGGTAAGCGGTTATTCTTGATAACTTGGAAACAATAAATTGAATAAAGACATCCAACTCAAAGCCGAACCAATAAAAATATCAAGTTTTGGTGTAAAAAGTCTTTTATGATCTCACCTTATGTTCTCACACTAGTCGTGATCCCGTGGTACATTCGTGGTACCCTATTTAAAGTATTTAGAGGTTCTATTGGTGGCAATCACAAAAAATAGCGGTATGTTCATTTTCTTCTATGCCATTGTGTTATAGTACCACTATATAATTTAGGTGTGGTGCAGATGATGGCTGATGACTATTGGGAAAAAAGAGAAATAAAAGTATATACTTGAGATGTTTTCTGTAATAAAACAAGTTGGATTTTGAATATTCACAATAGAAAATGATATTGTTCCCTTATTCTTAGGTGGGGTAACACCTATAGTAGAAAAGATGGTAGAAAATAGGCTTAGGTGGTTTGGGAATGTACAAAAAAGACTAGTAGATAAATTCTATTGTAAGGAGAGTAGATAAGATAAAGAGTCAAAAACAACTAGAGGTAGAGGAAGGCCTAGTTAAACTATAAGAGAAGCTATTAAGAAAGATCTTGAGATTAACAAAATGGATAGAAACATGGTCTTGGATAGAACATTATGGCGTAATTTGATTCATGTAGCCGATTCCATTTAGCGAGACAATGGTTGGTTGTTGTTGTATTCTTATTTATCATTTAATTTGTTCTATCTACTTTCTCCGCAGTGTTTATTAGGACAATAGGGGTGTTACATGTATACAGGGTAACCCTTTAATTGAGTTATGAGACTAGCTAGGTATTTAAATCACCTTCCTGAAACAGATAAAGGAGTAGATCTAACCTTTATTTGATTCTTGTTGCTGGTGGTTGCAGAAACCCAGAATTCCAACAGTCTGTGAAGGAGCTGAAGGAAAAAGCAGAAGAACTGAAAGGGGTAAAAGAAGGTCTGAAAGAAAAGTAAGTTTTGTTTTATTGTGACCATAATGTAACATTTAACTTTTAAAGTCATTCATTAATAGGCTGAGACATACCATTGTATGTCAAGGCTAGCTCGACACTTAAAAGGAGTGCCTGAGATGGTTGACTGGCAAATGCAGAACAAAGCAGACATTTGAGCAGCTGTACAAACAAGCGGACGGCGTGTGGACAGAAGCTGAAGCTGCTGCAAAAAAGGTATCATAAAAAGAACTATATAATCAAAGTAATTCACTTTCAAGTCATAAAATTAAATGATGAAAGAAAAGTGGCTGCCTATAGGTTGTGATTCATGTCCATTTACTGATATTTGTTTCAATTGGATTACGTTTTATATTAAAATGAGATATTTTATATATACCTTTGATTCTTCTATATTGCGTTGTAATTGAAATTGTTTGGGAACTCGGTATCCCGTAATCTATTGTGCATAACTTGACACGTTTCTTAGGATTTGATTAGTATTATACTTTTTGCAGGTTTCTTACAACGTTAGAGAGAAAATTTCAGCTGCAACTGAAAAGGTCTGATTTACAAATCTTCCTACAAAATGTGATCCACAATTGACGGCTTATTGATATTACTCATTTTAAATTAGGTGAAAGAAACTCATGGGACAGAAAAGCAGGACTCTTCAGGATCAACTGATTCTTCAACAAAACAGGACGCTGATGCGCAAGGAAGTCATACATCACACGAGGAAGAGAAAAACCAGCAATTTACGTCCGATAATGCTTCAGAGTCGTTGTTTGGCAAATTTAAGTCAACCTTTTCGTCCCCAAATGTTTCCACTTCCTTTCAAAAATTAAAGGATGCAAAAATTGTGGACATAACCAAGAAAGGTTATGACATACTAAAGGAGGAATTAAGTAGTAACCCAACTAAGAGACGGCATGTTCGATCTACTTTTAATGGCGAAACAAGCACAAGAACTGATCTTGTTGTTACGCCCTCTACCCAATCTGGGTGGAGTAAAAAGTTTGATGAGATCAAGGATAAGGTAACTGTGTTACAATTCTCTTGTTATTGGGATTTCCATTAATATATCTTCTCTATCTTTTCATTAATATATCTTCTCTATCTTTTCATTTAGGTGAAAAGCTTTCCAGCATTCAAGCGATTCATTAAGTATACTGACCCAGTGAAGACAAAAAGTCAGGAGGTATGCTCTACTCCTGAGGTTTTTATTCTAATGTAACAATTCTTTTTTTCTACCTGCTTTTTATGTATTCTGCAATTTGCCTCAGCCCCCTTAAAAAATGTTGATGTTCAGTGTGCTAATCCATGACCGTGGATAGAAAAAATTAATTTCTTCATGTGACTTTCCGAATCACCTTTTAGTGGCTTGATATTTTACATGTCTAATGAAATTGGCAGATAGTAGAGGATTTGCGGGAAAGATACGATACAAGTGACAACCCCATTATTCACAAAATACAGGAGTGAGTATCTCAATTTCTCTTGTTCTTAGAATTACCATGTGACTGGTTATTGTAAACAGGGTTAGTGCAATATTTGTCGGGTTATAATCTAAATATCTGTAACATATGCAAATTACAGTATTATTCTATTGCCCATTTCCTCCGAAATTGCTTTAGTATCGGTTTCACACCCATATCTAGTATAGATAATCATATGAATATGCTCCATTTTTTTTAAATATTTTTAAAGATAATATTGATTGGCTATACATTTGGGATTTGTGAAGCACCGATAAAGACATAACAGTGACACCGGTAATAATTTGGGAATATGAAATGATTGGATGTAACCATGTGTTGGTGTTGTGTTATTGTGAAGTGTTGGTACTTCATAGATTGGGATACATATCGTTAATACTCTAAGACATAACTACAAAAACTTGGCTTTTAGTTTGTGTGTACATCCTTATCCTTCACTATGTTGTGCATGCGGATTGGTGTACCGACTCCTTGTACATTAGAGATGATGTACACACTCCACTTGATGGCGGTGGTGGATTTCTTGAATTGATAGATATGTTATCTCTTGATGAAAGCTACACTTCCTAGATAATTTGATAGATGGAAATGATACTTTAAGCACGAGAAAGTTAATATGAAGGAATTGGGTTGAGTCAATACTTATTGTGACATTCTAACTTTAGTCACGGAAGACAATACATTTGTTACATGTTTATGAGGAAAAGAAGATATTTTGATGTAGAAAAGAGAAAGATATGTGTCTGTTTTTCTGTTATGATTGCAAGTATCTTAAAGCATGTACATTTTTTAATTAAATCGTATCAACGCACCTAGGTTGTATTTCTATCATAGTCGTGTGATATTTAGTATATGGCTTCATAGGCGCTGATTCACCATACTTCTTTTACAGCATCAACGATACCATGTTTCATGAGACCGATGCTGCACTTTCATATAAAGAAATACGTCAACGGGATCCGTAGGTTCTGATTCCTTTTGTGTTTTCTTTGTCTTAACATTTCAATATTATTTTACTTGCTAACACCATTTTCTTTCATTTTGATCACACGAGCCAGTTATTTTTCCTTAACGGAGTTTGTGGGAGAAGTGCAGGAGGCAATAAAACCCGTGCTTAATGCTTACATCAAGGTTAGTGATATAGGACCCCGAATAGGAATAGAAAAATTGAATTATATTGATTTGGTATTTAAGTTAACTCAACCAGAGAAATAATCAGTGTTACGGAGTAGTTTTAATGAAAACTTAAATGAAAAATATAGCATATGCACTTTATTTTAAAGATGCATCCGAGGTTAGTAATATAGGACTTTGAATAGGAATAAAAAACTTGAATTATATTGATACTTAAATTAACTTAACCAGAGAAATAATCAGTGTTACAGAGTAGTTTTAATGAAAACTTAAATGAAAAATATAGCATATGCACTTTACTTTAAGATGCATCCGAACCTTTATTTTCCAAATCAGGTTTATAAATGGTGTCAAACCTGTACCCAAAAAGCATAGTGCAGCCCAATTTTGTGGATCCACTTTGTGTTAATAATAATTGTTTTAAGCTCTTCTGGTCGGTGCAAACTGGATTTTCTGCATATCGTTTACGACCTTCAGTGTTGAATTGCAAATGCCACAGCCACAAATTCTTTTTGACCGGCAGATTTAGCCGAATTGACGATACAGGTCTCTGCCATTTTTTTTTGTCAAAACGGCACCAAATCCCTGCCCTTGATAAATTTGCTGTAATTTGTCTCGTTAGGCCCGCAAATCCCCATGCCTTGAATATTTTTTGGCAACGACGCCTTTAAATTTTTTAAGCACGGGCTATTGGAGCACACTCTTGACTTATTGGGATCCATTGCCACCTTTGATATTATATGGCCCAAATACTCCACGACCGACTATTGGACTATTGGTTGTGTAAAACCTCCAGCACTTCTGCTAAATGCAGTAAATGTATGTTTCAGTCTAGACTATACACCAAAATATCTTCGAAGAAGATCAACACAAATATCATCAACGTGGTTCTTAAAATCTCTTTCATTAGAGCTTGAAAGTAGTGGGTACATTCATTAACCCCAATGACGATATTAAATACACATAAAGCCCTAATATGTTCTAACTTCTAAGTGTTTTATGAATATCCTCTCTTCTGACATGTACTTGATGATAGCGCCTGTTTTAGGGTCTAGTTAAGAGAAAATTGAGCTCCATACAATTCATCCAATTACTCATCTATCCATGCTCTTAGTGAGTAATGCCGTAGATTGCATCGCCATAAACCCTAAACCCTTAAAGAGGAAAAAATGGACTTGTGATTCTTAGAAAGGCTACCTATGTCACTTGATAAATGCAAAACCTGATATCAAGGGATAAATATATAGCAGTAAGAATAAGTTTTGCATCAAATTTATTTCTTGTTTGTGCTGATGCATATATGATTTATGAATTGGCTTTTACTTAAACATACAGGGAGATGTTGAAACACTGAAGAAGTACTGCAGCCCTCAGCTGATCGAACGTTGTAAAGCAGAGCATAGTGCGTATAAAAGTCATGGTATCTTCTTTGATAACAAGGTAGGATTATAATTTATGTTTTCAATCTTACCAAGATTCTATCGTGATGACTGATGAACGATATACACACAATTTATTTATCGTACTCTATAGTCAAGGCTTGATTAAGGTACTTTAGAGGATTGTATGTATCTACTATGATGTTGTTCGTTTTTAACATTGAACTCTCCATTTACAGATACTGCATATTTCCGATGTGGATGTAAAAGAAACCAAGATCTTGGGATCCTCTCCGGTCATTATTGTAGTGGTATTGCAAATTATTTCAGAAGTTCATTGCTAGCATGCAAAATTCATTCTTATGCAGTAGAAGAAAAAAAACTTATCCTAATGATTTTGTTCAATGAATTTTCAGTTTCAAACACAGCAAATCTATTGTGTACGAGATAAGAACGGGGCAATAACAGAAGGAGGCAAGGTGAGTGCTGTGTTTTTTACTATTCATATTTTTATTTTACATTGTAAACAAAATCAGAATCTGTGAACTTCATCTTTTCACATAATTTTAATGTAATTTGGATCCACTATGTTATTTTATTCTAGGATACAATCCACACTGTATTCTATCTATGGGCGTTGCAACAAATGGACCAAGAAGATCATGGTGAGGACGCAATTTATCTAATGTGGAGACTAAGTGAGATGCAGCAGCAAGGCATACAAGCTCTCATCTAGTTTCTCATTTTCTTCCCCTTTTTCAGGGATTTGTATAATTGAGCATTTGCTACATATATATGGATTTCATTTCTTGGCGCTAATTTTCCATAATCAGCTGATGTAACACCCTTTTTTAAATTACTATTTTTTGCTGATGATATAAAAAAAACATACCCGATGTATTCTTTTATGTATTAGATATGAGCTAGCTTGATGCATGGTTAAATTACCTTCTAGCTTTGTGCTAGAAGTGGCAAATTGTTAATAGAGAACAAGTTCTTTGTTTAGAATAATAAATACTCTTGTCCATTTCATGGGGTATTTTTCACCACAAGGTCTATGTTTTTCTGTCTCTGAACATGCAAATGTGATGGATCCTATTTGTTAGGTACCGACAGTAACAAATAAATTTAAGACAAAAGGATAGAAGCTGATAGAAATTAATGGCTATTATTGTATGATGGTAAGAAGATTTACAGAAGATTCAATGATCTAACTGTCACAGAGCTAGGCTCTTATGGAGTGCTTAACAGTCCCCCATCCAATGATTGCTAAATGAATCTTCTAGCCTACGTCCCCAATTCCCTTACCTCCTCATTTATTGTAACCGTCTAACGATATTCGCTAAAGTCACTACTCTCTCTCTCTCTGCCACCTCATAGCTATCATGTGGTGTGAGATCCTTTTTTCCTTCTAGAATAAACCTGCCAGATCTTAGCACTCCTAGGCCCAATATGATTTGTCATTTCTATATCTGGCCCATCTTTCTTCACTTGGTCCCTAACAATACCTCCTTCTAGAAAAGCTACCTTGTTTTCAAGGTTAAATTCAGGAAATTGCTTTGTTATGGTTTCCATGTCTTCCCAAGTAGCCTCGTCCACCGCCCTATTAGTCCACTGAATTAAAACTTGTTTAACTCTCTGTTCTCCTAGCCCGTTGAAACGTGTGTCTAAAACTCCTTCAGGCACAAACTGCTCCACACAACTCCCTTCAACTTCTTGGGGCAATTCACTTTCCACTGCATAATCTCCAACTGCCCTTTTTAACAGAGAGACATGAAAAACTGGGTGTACCCGTGATCCCTCGGGTAATTTCAGCTTATACGCAACAGCTCCAATCCTCTCCACAATCTGAAACGGGTCATAATATCTAGCTGCCAATTTAGCATTAATCCTAGATACCACGGATTGCTGCCTGTGTGGACGAAGCTTCAAAAACACCCACTCTCCAATATTAAAATTGGACTCTGTCCTCTTCTCATCTGCAAAATACTTCATGCGGTCTTGAGCTCTTTGGAGATGAGCTCTCAACTGCTTGAGTGCTTCATCTCGTTCTTCCAACTCTTTTTGAACTGCAGCCACCCTTGTCTCACCTTGCAAGAGTCTTGTAATAACAGGAGGCTTCCTTCCGTAGACTAACTCAAAAGGTGTACTCCCCGTGGACGCATGAAATGTTGTATTAAACCAAAACTCTGCCCATGGAATCCAAGTCAGCCAGGATTTTGGTTGGTCTGCAATGAAACATCTCAAATAAGTCTCCAAACATCGATTGACAACCTCCGTTTGGCCATCCGTTTCCGGGTGATAGGCTGAACTCATCTTCAAAGTGGTACCTTGCAGCCTGGAAAGTTCAGTCCAAAAATTACTGATGAACAGAGGATCACGGTCACTAACAATGGCTGTAGGTAAACCATGAAGTCGTATAACTTATTTGGAAAAAATTTCAGCTACTGTTCTAGCAGTATAAGGTCTCTTAAGAGGGATGAAATGACAGTATTTTGACAGCCTATCTACTACCACAAACACAGCTTCAAACCCACGGGATTTCGGAAAACCTGTGATAAAATCCATTGAGACCTCTTCCCACACTGCTGAGGGAATGGGCAGAGGTTGTAATAAACCCCCAGGTGCGATAGCTAAGTACTTTTGTTGTTGACACACATCACAAGCCTTCACATAGGCTTGCACTCTTGCTTTCATACCTATCCAATATACATTAGCAGCTAAACGTCTGTAGGTGCGATAAAACCCAGAATGCCCACCTTCCGGAATAATATGAAATTCAGCCAACATCTTGGGAATCAATGAAGATTGTGCAGATAACACTAAACGATCCTCATAAAATAAAACCTCTTGTTTGTACTTAAATCCTGGTCTTGAATCTGGTTTTTCTTCCAATTCCTCTATGATTTTCAGCAGAACCTTATCCATGTGGATTTCTTCCTGTATCACATTGCCTTCCTCCCAAATTGGATATGAGACCAGAGCTGCTAATTCACCTTCAGGTAATCGGGATAGAGCATCTGCCCCTCTATTCTCCACTCCCGGCTTATATACGATATCAAACTGATAACCGAGCAATTTAGTGGCCCAATTCTGCTGATCCGGTGTCGTAATCTTTTGTTGCCATAATTGCTTCAAACTCTTTTGATCTGTTGTCACAGTGAAATGTCTGCCCAACAAATAAGGGCGCCAATGTTGTACCGCTAAAGCTACTGCCATTAGTTCTCTTTCATATGCAGACTTAGCCAAATTCTTTCCTCCTAAAGCCTTGCTAAAAAAAGCAATGGGCTTTCTCTCTTGCATTAATATCTCCCCCAGACCCACTCTGGATGCATCACATTCTATTGTGAACTCCTTTTCAAAATCCCGCAAAGCAAGTACGGGGGCTGTTGTCAGCTTCTTCTTTAAAATTTCAAAAGCCTTTTGAGCTTGAGGCCCCCATTTGAACCCCTCCTTCTTTGTCAACTCTGTCAATGGCTTGGCAATATTCCCATAATCTTTAATAAACTTGCGGTAGTAACCCGTAAGGCCTAGAAATCCTCTCACCTCTTTAACGTTCTTAGGTATAGGCCATTGAATTACACTCTGCACCTTCGAGGGATTTACTGCTACACCACTTCCCGTGATCAAACGACTGAGATACTCAACTGTTTTCTGGCCAAACTGACACTTTTTTTTTATTAACAACCAGTTTATGTCTCCTCAAAATCTGCAACACTTTGGTTACTTCAAAAATATGTGTCTGCCACGATTTACTATAAATGAGTATGTCGTCAAAAAAAACTAACACAAACTTCCTCAATAAGGGCCTGAACACCTCGTTCATCAAGGATTGGAATGTGGATGGAGCATTCATCAATCCAAACGGTATCACAAGGAATTCATAATGTCCGTCATGAGTACGGAAGGCCGTCTTATGAACATCCTCTGGTTTCACCCTCACTTGATGGTACACGGACTTTAAGTCAAGCTTGGTGAAATATTGAGCCCCATGTAACTCATCGAGTAACTCGTCTATCACCGGTATTGGAAACTTGTCTGGTACGGTGGCCTTGTTAAGGGCACGATAATCAACACACATTCGCCATGTACCGTCCTTCTTCTTTACCAGTATAACGGGACTAGAAAAAGCGCTGCAACTGTGTTGAATAATTCCCATCTCAAGCATCTCCTTAATCTGTTTTTCTATTTCATTTTTCTGGTGGTGTGGGTACCTATATGGTCTGACACTGACTGCACCTTGTCCTGCCATTAAATTGATAGCATGGTCCCTTGAGCGACATGGAGGAAGACGCTTAGGTTCTTGGAACACGTCATCGAAAGATTTCAATACTTCCTGCATAACGGATTGCTCTAACACTACCTCTGCCCCCCTTCCGTGTTGCTCAACGTTGCATCTAGTGACCATCCTTTCTTGCCGTAGCCTTTGCTAGCCTTCCCTACAATGCTTTGTGTGACACCCCAAATTTATTCAAGTGTTAAATAATTAGAAATTTAATTATTAAATTAATTAAAGACTTAATTAATAATATTTTGGATTAAATGAATGAATTAATTATGAAATTAAAAAGGAAGACCGGGGGGTGTAAGGTTGAATTAGAGGTGTGTGAAGTAAAAAGCTCTACTAAATAATAACTACTTTATTTCTATTATTTGGAAAATAATAAAAGGAATATAAAAAGAAGGATAAAAAGGAAAAAAAAAAAGAAGAAGGTTATTTGGAAAGACGTCATTGTACGTGAAATTGGAGAAGAGAAGAGAAGAGAGGAAAAAGTCAAACGTCGTGAATTCGAAGGATCGTCGCGAGGTAAGGGGTGATTTCAATTATTTAATATGCCTTATAGATTTTGGGATCAATAGAATTGATTAAGCATGTTAGGAATCTCAATTTAGGATTTTCTAGGTTTGTAGAATTTGTCCCTAATGTTGTCAAATTATTGGAATTGAACCAATTGCATGATATAGGATTGTTATGAATGGTTGAATTGTGTTATTTGACACTATGTTGATGTTACTTGGGTGATTCTGGTGTTAATTGATGTGGTCATTCGTATGGAAATGAAAAGGAATGGATTGAGATACATAATGCTGTCAAAATAGCAGTTTTTGGCTCTGCAGGTCGTGGGAACCGGTTCCCAGTGGGGAGGAACCGGGTTCCACTGTGTAAACGTACAAAAACTGGCAAAAACGCACGTAGGAACCGGTTCCTGTATAGGTAGGAACTGGGTTCCCATACATTTTCCAGAAGGGTGATTTTTGGACTTCGCAGGAACCGGTTCCTGCATATGTAGGAACCGGGTTCTGCTGTAACTTTTTGAAAAATATTAAACTTTGAAAATTCATAACTTTCAAACCGTAAGTCCGATTTGAGTGCCGTTTTCGGCAGTATTTCTTAAATTAAAAATACTATCTTATAAAATAATAAAAATATTATTTTATGAAAATTATTTTAAAAAGAGTCGAATTCCCGATTTTTGTAAACTTTGGTATTTTGAGAATGATGTAGAATTGTTTGTAAATTGTTCTGGTTTGGTGAATGAGAACTGATACTTATGTGTTGTGCCTGCTATCCATTATGATTGAGATGTGATTATGTGATATATTGGTTTTGGCATTATTTGGAATTATGTTGTGATCATATTCTGTTGATTTGATGTTGCATGCTGGTGATGTGCATGCATATGCATTGTTTTGGTGAAGTTAATTCCCATTGTGTGGAATTTGACTTGTATTGCC